CTAAAATATAATCCAAGCAGCCTGCCATTCACAGCCAGCAACCTCAAAGTGAGCAATGTGGGAAAGATCATGTGCCAGGGAAGGCTAGTCCTTGAGGCAACAGACGTGTCTTTTTCAGTGTTCTTGCATCACAATGGGAATAAAGTGAGGTATGATATGTGCTTTTGAAGTCACAGAGCACTCTGGAGGAAGGCTGAAACTCTCCTTGTTCATCTGGTACATCTGCAGCTCTGTGAAGGACAACTCTGATTGCTTCATTATGTGTCTTCTGTTTTAAATGATACTGTCATTCTGATGTCTTACAACTTGGGTCTTTTTTGTTTATTTCTTTGTTTTTGTAGCTGTGGATTTTATTCCTGTCAGTAATTGTAATGTTACATGAGATGTCACCCTGTCAGGTTTTTTTGTAGGGATGTCATTGCATTTCAAGATTAGTACAGTGTCATTATAAATGATGGAAATGGTGGACAAAATAAGACCCCACAATGAGTTTAAATATCATTTAACTCTAGCCACACTTCAGTGAAATAAAAGACACTCTTTTACATTTTATATTTTTGATTTTTAGATGACAAGCATATCTGACTAAAGCAGCTCACTGTCAATGAACAGCGTTAACCATGGTCTTGTTCTAGAACAACTTGACATGGGTTTTTGCTGTTAGAATTAAACCTATACAATTTTCTTTATGGGGAAAGTGCTGTAATTATTGAGCAGACATGCTGCCCACCCTGTTGCTGCAGGTCAGATATAAAATTCTAACTGTAGTAACAAGATGAAGCAATCGAAAGGAAAGTAGGATGAGGTAGGATGCCTCCACAGCCAACTTTAAACTCCTGCAATGATGTTTGCCTCAGGCCAGAATTCTAAAAAACAGTTAATAAACCATGACTCACTGAAACTTTCTCTCTGAAAGTGTCAGGATAAAACATCAGGCAGGCTGTAGTGAGGGAGGATGTATCATATTAGAAATGTTATCAATATTGATCATATGTCATGCTCAGAGATGTTATGAGGGCCTCATTTTTATGCAGCCTAAAGGAACGAGCTTGTCAATTAGCAGAATGTCTTCCACAGTACAAGAATGAGTCACGTACAGCACTCAAATTTAGGAAGAATGCACTTGTTCTACAGCAGAAAACCCTCCAACTGTGTTTCTGTTTTATAAATGACATTTTAAGATAAAAAAGTAATTTGCAAATTCCATTTGTGTACATTTTGTAGAAGTCGATTACAACAGTCATCCTTGCTGATGTAATAGTTTGTCATCCTGTTCCTTTTCAATAAGAGAATTTGTATTACTGCATTTTGGTACAAATAACTATTTATTTTTTGTAGAAACATTTGTGTTGGGAATACATACTTGAGTGAGCATATAAAACCCACTCCAAAGACATATCTCACAAAGTTTAGGGAACCGTTTATGTTTTGGACATTCAGGCCTTCAGTCACATGTGGAGGAATTTCAATGGAAAAAGAACAGCCAGTGAGCAGACTGTGCATTTTACCCTGCATTTATAAACACTGATTTTCTTGTTTGGATTTACTCCAAATGTCCAATTTCTTCTCTGTTCTAGCACTGCCTTGTGTTTAAACTAGGAGGTGAGGGGAGGTTCACAAAGCATGTCTGTAGGACCTGTGCAACCAGCAGAACATTAATCTCATCAATTTCCCAATGCAAATATTGGACTTATTAATCTTCTGTGCAGACACTTGTAGTCACACCATTTTCTCTGCCAATTCTCAAGGAACACGCAGACCCTCAGTATAAAACACTTCACAAAGCCTAGGCAGATTTCATGTTTATTTTTTCCTGTTACCATAGTGACATTATACTCTTGGGGAGATAGCAGGCTCATATGCCATCGTAGGATGCAAATCCCCTTGTTAAGCTTTGCAAATGAAAATGTAAACACATTCTGGAACAAGACATCTCTATAACACTGATAAACATGTATAAGACAATACTTGCAGTAGATGTTGTTCTCTTATTATGTTATTTGGGCAGTGTAAAACTTCCATCCAAAACGGGGTATGTGGTAATATAACTAATACTCTTAGAATGTTTTCTGTTTCACGCCATACATATTGGTAGTATCTTACACAGTGCATCATTAACTCTGCCAGTAGAGCTGGGAGGGAGTTTTGTTTTCATTCCGTTTCATCTGTTTGTCTGTCTGTTCATCTGTCTCGTCATATTCTTATTTTAGTAAATGCCAAAATGTTATAAATGGATTATGACAAAATAAAAAACCAGCAAACAAAGGACTTTTTAGAAAGGTTCATGATGGAGCAAGAAAAAAGTTTTCATACTGTTTGGTCAACAGAGGGGGGTGACAGTGCTTGGACACATAACTTCAGAACAGTTTTAAAGACTTTGTGTGCCTATCAACAAACACACAAATGGAAAACAGTCTCTATTGCCAGGCCAACCAAACAACATGCTTGCAATGGAGAACATTTTATGGTTTAGAAGTAAATGCTATGCCAGCATTTCCAAACCTTGGTTAAAGGGCAGCTTTAATGGCCACTGAGGAGATAGAAAGCTGCAGACTTTGAACAGGGACATGTCATGTCCAATTTCAAATAAAGCTGAGATAAAGTAAGCATCCCTTGATTTAAGAAAAAAGTAAGGGTCATTTGGCTGCCAAATAGAGAACTCTGCTGGTAATTTCCTTTCAGTGTGGCTCACTCACATCTGTATTGAAATGATATTCACTGATAAACAGGATTTAAATAGGTTAGCGGACATAAAGTAAGCTTGGGTGGGGGAAGGATGGTGTTATCAGTCACAGGTGCAATAATGAGTGAAGGGCTGTGACATCACCAAAGGCTAAACCGGCTGCTCTTCAAGCATGAAAGCTACAATATATTGACCATGAAACACTTCATCTCAAATCCTAGCATTCTTATATTTTCTTCATGAATTTAAAGCATAAAGAAAATTATAGAATTGATTTGGTGCACTATTGCATCATAATTGGTCCTGTGGCTGCTATATTGTATGGGGGTGGCTGAAACACAGTGGTGAAAGACTGTGGTAAAGTGGTAGATTGCACCACTGAAGAAAGCTCATGGAAAATGTTGTTATAGGGGATCGCTTGCTGTGCTGCATTCATGATTTGATTCAAAACACTTCAGCTGTACAAGAAGTTCCTGACAGTAGCAATATTAAGTAAGAGTGGGTACAAGTAGACAACTGCAGCAACTGGGGAAAGTCTGCATGGTGCTTCTTTAAAAAAAAAAAAAAAAAAAGATGGTGCCATTGCCTTGTTGATGCCAATTCAGGAACGCCCAGGCATCTGGACATCATATGGCACAGCATGGGCTGTGATATTTGAAGATGTACACACAGAGATAAAAAATGAAACCCTCTGTAAATCTTCTTTGTAGCTGATAGAGTATCCCTGACAGCTTGTGGCAGTCATTTTGTAGAGCGGGGGGGCAAAATCTAATCAGCTAGTTGGTTCATCTGCCCAGCATTAGCATTTAGTTCTCCAGGGTCAGTGTGAATACTGTTCACACTGAGGCAGCAAGGATTGTGTCAACACATAATTAGATGATGAGAAATTGTTCCTCTGTTGCTGTTTTTTTTTTATTCTGCAGTCACTTTGATTATTGATGGTTTTGTTTTAGATATGTAGAAAATTACTTCTACAGCACCATTTGTGCATCTCCATCTGAATATATATCTGCATAAAGATACTGGACACAATTATGCAAAAAGTTTCCATCAAATTCAGCATGACCACAGGCAGACAGCAGTCACTACTCAGCGTGCAGTTTGTGTTGTTTATCTATAAATGAGCAAACATGAAGGGTAGATGACTTTTTTCATGCTTGTGGTGAACAGATCACAGTGCAGAAGAACTGAATCTGGCTCTCCAACTGAGCTTTGATTATGTCCCACTAAAACAAAGCCCTCCTCCGTTCAAATCAAGAGCCACTTTTTCACTTTAGCTGCCAGAGAGACACTTATGGAGAGGTTTGCTCAGACTTAATTGGAGTGGAATCTGCAGTGTGAGTTTAAAGATCTGACAGCCGGCAGAAGACAATGAGCTCAGCAGCTGCTCTAAGTCTAAGGCTGATCGTGGCAACTTGCCATATGTACAATTTTGTGCTAAGGTGAGTTAGTTAAGCCATTTGAAAACATTGTTTCCCTTGAGCATACCAGATTTGCATCACCACTGTTTCAACACTGTACATCCCACACAAACTGTAATTTCACAAAGAAGGAATAAGAAGAACTACTGCATGGTGTCATAGTGAGAAAGGTACATCTGTAGCTGACTTTGCTCGTGCTCTATAGGGTCATTGTATGAGCCTTGGCCTTTCAGCATCACCCTCCCGAACCCACACACAGCCTCTCTCACTCACTTACTAACCCCCCACCCCCACTTTCATCTCTCCTCTCTGGGTGGAGAAGGAGCTGGTCAGCCTGCCACCATGCACTTCCCCCTGAAAGAGCCATTCATTGCTGCCGGCAAAGGGACCTCAGCTCACCTCCTAACCGCAGAGGGCTTCAACGTCACTACCTCCTACCTTTTGGCAACACACTTTCAATGCATACATTCTCCAGGCAAATGCACTCACACACTCAGCCAGGCAGAGATCCAAAGGCAAAGAGGAAAAAAAAAATGCATTAGATGCGAAACTGACAGATGTTGTCTTAGACCTTGGACCAGGGTCAGACCCTTGGCACATCTTTTCCCTCTTGTATTTGAATTTCATCCAAGCAAAAGAAGATTTCACCGCTGAGCTATGAATGGCACAAGGACTGTGAGAGTGAACAGCAAAAAAGTTAAGGAAAAAAATACTTGGTATGTAGTTTACTTATAACCTTTGTGTACAATGCTCTACTGCTGCAGGTCAGAGTTAGTCTTTCAGTTTCAGTTTGAGGCATTAATTCATCATTTTGTCATGCTTTGATTAATATGTAGTGAAGGGGAATCAGAAGAGAGGAACAGGACACTTAAAGAGTGATTTGCAGTGGCACTTACCTCCATGACAGTGGTTGGGGAAGCAGAGCAGCAGGGCCAGACAGGCACCGACCAGGACCAAATGCAGGGCTCTCATATTTTCATGCAGAAAGTTAAGTCCTCCACTCTCACGTTAAAGACTCTCCATTCAGAAGGGACTGAATGAGTTTCCAGTTTTGGGACCTGCTACAGGATACTCCTCTATGTGAAGGGGCAGGGCCGGGGGGGGACCACAAGAGGGACGGCCTTTTTTTCCAACCCCCCCCCCCCCCCCCCAGCAGCACACTCTGTCCCTCTCTTACACACACACACACACACACACACACACACACATATACTGGAGTTTCCATCACTTCAGGAGATATTTACCCTAACCCAACCTAACATTAACCAGAACCATTACTTGCCTAACCCTAACATTAAGGAATTAAGTCAGTCATTTTCTTTATTAGTAGTATTTGTATTTTCAGCAAACCCCATTTAGAGACTAAAATCAACAATAAATTGCCTCTACTTACGGTACTTCTGTCAGTGATCCAGCCTGGATTAGCTTCTTCTGTTGTTCAAAAACAATTAAAAACATACCAGTGTAACACACCGCTGCACTGGGTGACATGTTTCGTCATTATACAACACAAGACCTGCATATTTGATAAAAATGTTGCTCCAAAAGCTCCAAATAGCCAGTTTCTTAGATTCTGAAGAAGGCAAGAGTCAACTGCCGTGCATGAGAGCTCCATGTGAGCTCTCTGCTTTGCTGTCACTCTGAAATTTAAAGATTTTTGTTTTGGAGACTTGCTTTTAAACTCCATGAGGACAA